GTTTTGCATGATGTATAACATAAAAATTTGTATCACATGAGATCTCCCCTAGTTCCCTGCCAGTTCCTCGATAGTTCCACGACACTTCCCTGGCACTGAGTGGTTTCTCAAATCACGGGTGATCAACCAATCAGATTTTGCGCACGTAGTACCATTATTATATCTCCTATTTTTTGCCCGTCAAAATTGCGCAGAAAAAAATAATATTTGGTACACGTATATTGCAAAATATATATTAATAAAGCATTTTCCATATCGGGTTTTATTTTAAAATGTGTTCTGCATGCGTTAACGATCTTGATCTGAAAATCCCGTGATTGATATTTCAGCCGGGGCCCTGTCAAAATTATCTTTCACTCCGCAGTTTAGCACCGTTCTTCTGACAATATATGGCGCAATAACTCCGTCCTGGATCTGAAATACTACACTCCGGATATATTTATTTATTATTTATTTAAGAATTAGGAGGACAGAACGGTTATTAAACTTTTGTTAAGCCATAAATTTCGTTAGAACGAGGTAATAGACTATACTAAGTTCAAAAGAGCCGTAATCTACCTAAAGGCGGACCCATCCAACATGCCATGGAAGACTCGAGTTTGGGAAGGTGGACAACCCGGGAGGCCAACCACAGAAACTACACTCCGGATATGGGCGAACTTTATTTATAATCTTTTTCAACGTCACGTGATGCATCGCTATGCGGAACGTTACTGTTTTGATTCATTGGATGTATAGCATCCGTTGAACTTTATCATCGCTGATATGGAAAAATAGTCATAAACCTTTCTTGCCCTATCTGCCTTTTTCCGAGAGCGTATTTGGTGACCTCCTTGGGCGAAACACAGATCATCTTTTCATTTATATTTGTGGTCTTGGAAAAACAATTTATAATGTCCCGTTATACAAGTTTTTCAGATATCCGGATGGACAGTACCATTTTTTCCAATACGCAGTTCACACCCACATTGCATACGAGCATACGCAAGTTAAAAAGCCAGAAAAATAAACTTTACTTTTTTATTACAACTAGTATTGCGAAGTTACAAGATCATCTAAATTACTTTCATATAGTATTTATGCGGATATCTTTTTAGGAGAAAATTGTGTTCCGTTTTCAAGATGTTCATTGCCTAATTTTAGTACTTCATAAAATCGCTGAGTATTTTTTCTAGTGCGTGATTTCCACGATAGAATCACCTTAATAGCTTTTATCAACTTCGGGAAACCTTCTACAGTCTTGGGAATTTCTACATCCTGTAGATCCATAGTAATAATAGCGTTCTCAAACAAGTATTTGGATACAGATACCGTAAGACGAAATCCGTTCGATTGAAGACTATATGCTTCAATCTGTGTAATGTAATCTTTTGCTGATGTCGGTAATGCGATATAAAGCGTTGTTAAAATTATTTTTAAACAATATTCTAATTTATTCAAGTCTCCTTTTCTTTTACCACGTGTACTCAATACTCCGTCTTCTTGTACAAGTAATTCTGTTCCTAATGCCTTTAGAAGACCCTTCCCATCCAATCTAGGGGCACTTCGACCGCCAATATTTAAAAGTTCTTTTAATTTTTCATAAGAATTGGAAGCTAACTCTCCGCAACTTAATTTCATATCAGCTCTTCCAAAAAATGCCTTTCTAATTAACGGTGTCCAAATATAAGTGTTAAGTTCGCATTCAGACATTGGTTGTAATAAAATATCATTTTTGTACATAAAGAAAAAATGATCCAACAGCGTTCGTGCATATATGAGATCATTAGACGCATTGCCCATATCGATTTGATTTTCATTTAAGCATTTAGCTAAAGATTCCAGATCACCTACATCAGAAAACTTCTTTAAGAATTGTATTACTTCCACTTCGCAGTCAACCACAAACTTAGGTATATGTTGTTCTTTATCAAAGTAAATGGCTTGACATTCAGGATCCTGAAGTTGACTTGAAATGAAATTTTTAAATTCATCGGACAAAAACTTTGTGCAATCCGAGTTATGAACATTGATCACTCCTATACATAGAGGGCTTTTTGTAGCTCCACTTTTTCCCATATTAGTATGAGCAGACCCCAATATATCTACCCCCCTATATATTAATTTTTTCCCTAGTAAAACGCACATTCCGTATGTCATTAAAACCTCTTTAGCTATATCATTGTTGATATAACCTCTAGTCGATTTTTTCCCTTTGCTATCGGTTGCTTTTATATTAGATTCGGTGAGATTATTAGATTCTTGCTTTTGTACTTCAGAAAATACATTTGTCAATGAAACTGGTGCAATTTCAGAGTCAGACGAAGATGATTCTTCATTATATGGTTGAGGACTAGAATTTCTAATCTGTGCATACGTCCGAAAGGTTAGCTAAATAATTAAAGAACATTTTGTGAAAATTAAATATTAAAATTATATCCTGACCCTGTTTGGCGGAGTTGATGTATAATCATCCGTACTTCGTCTTTTTTTTGAAAATAGATAGCTCTCAATATCGTCGCCATTTAAGTCTCGTTTTGGATTTGATCGATTAAGTGAATACTCTGCAATCATTTCAGATCCATGAAATTCACATGATGCTCTCACAAGATTAATGCCTTGCTTGTCCGCAATAATATTAACCTTTGACTGATTATAAACAAGTTCTGTTAAACATGCTAAATAATTACAGGTGCAAAGCCATTTTAAACCTACCTTTGAAATTGTAATGTTTTGTTGTCGCGTGATCTAATTGTAATGTTTAAAATTATAATTAAAAATGTTATTCTGCCAGTAGTGCTGGGAATTAGTAAAATAAACATACACCTACCTCCAATCGAGTAGAAATTACATTGTAGAAAATTTTTTGGATGCCCAAAAGATGACCCTTGTGAGTTAGTTAGATGTTTTTCATGATTAGTAAGACAATAGACCAGTTCACAAAACAAGAACAACAAAAAGGAACGTCGCGCATAGAGGGAGCAGTAAGTGTACTGATCCTCTTGACCAGGTAGTGACATGGTAAGATTTTTTAAAAACCCTCTAGCACTCGGCGAGTAAAGTACAGTACTCACTCCACGTCAGGTAGTGACATGACAGGAGGTGCCTTTCTATCAAAATTAACAAAATTGAAGCATATTCACCTTAACAGCCTTGTGGCCTTTTGCCTCTACTTCAAAAGTGAAACGTTTCCACCAAGTACCGTTGAGAGTATTAATATCACTTGCATCAGGTGGTGAATTTACGATCGTATTGAAATTTGAGGAAAGGAAGTCAGAAAAAGACCAGTTAGACGGATCATTATTATCGAGATAGGTAATGAGAGCTACAAAGAAATTTAAGCACAAGTAAATTAGCCGAAAGGTGACAGTCAATCCTCTTGTATTATTTGAATTTATACTCACCCGCATTGCCAGGATATGGCTTATTGTCTGCCATAGTGCTAGTGCTGTAGACGAATCCTGTGAAGTGGTCGAACGCGTCAAAAGTAAATCTTACGTTACACAGCCCCTATTCTTTCGGCCCAGGCGCATTTCAGGTGATCGTTTCCCACATGACCGAACTATGCTACAATTGTGGAAGTGAAGCAAGTAAGACAATATTTTGTTCCATTCCTAGGATTTGATAATTAATTAATTCTGGATCAGTTATTTTACATTACACGTTTTAAAAATCAATCAAACATATTCTTTATTGCAAAGTAGTACATGAGAAAGGGCCGGTCAGCCAAGAAAAAATGAAAGTAAAAAATAATCGAGTAGCAGGATGTTTCAAGGGAGGAATTTACCGAGCCCTAACCCGTGTAATGGTAGTTCCTTCCCCACTACTCGGTATTACTATCTAAATTATTATTAATTTTGCTATCTACCCATAAACCGATATCATCTAATGTAGTAATATAACCATCATTCTTCTTAATATTCCTCTCATAAAAGCCCTGAACTGTGACTTTCTTAATATTACCACCTAATTCGCGAATTCCCATTGCCATATGGAGGCACATCTCTTCCAGGATATATCTTTTTTCTTCTCTAATTCGATTGAAAATTTGCTTGAATTGGGTCCAGACAGTTAGACTGATACCTTTGAAAAATATTTGACCCGAGCCTACAGGAGAAATATATTAGTAAGATACAAGCTATTAATAAAACGTTTTTTATTTTTCGCTTTGCTTGTTTACCAGAACTTCTGGAGGAACTTGGGTTCGAAGCTTCATCAGCTTCAGTCGGCTGGACTCTTCGTGTAATTGCATAACATTGAATTAATCTGTTTTGGAGATCTTCGATAGAAACATTAACTGAGGCAAAATCATTACGACAGGCTTCTTCAGTAGCGCTTCCTTAGTGAAGTCATCATCATGTGCCTTGATTTTTCAGCTTCTGCGGTAAGTTTACTATCGATTTCAGTATAAATTCCTATAAATTCCGTTTAATTCCGCAGTGAAAAAAGAGTTAAAATCGGAAATACTCGTGCGGTAAGCTCATAAAAAAACAGCAGTTAAGGCCGAAAATGGCATGGATCCTGAAGAGTCGAATAATGTTAAACTGGACATGCTTAGGTAAATTGATGCGCAGTAATTTTATTGAGAGTTTATTGGTGGATCAAATAATAGCAATAGTTATCTTGCGTAAATACACTGGGAGAAAGGTTTATTTTATACTTTATAGCTACTACACGTGAAATAAGAATTTTACTCAATTCATATGGGAAATTATGTTGCTTTATTTTTCATAATTACGTTGCTCGTAGGTGCCTAATTGTTGAAATAATAATACATGACACGTTAAAAATGTGAAATTGGTATTATGAATATTAATAAAGTACTGAGTAATTTGCTGTTTATTGCTAAGATCGCGCAAGATCATCTATCGATCTGCGGGAGATGGCTTACCCCGCTAGTATCATATTTCTTTTTTCGAATTAATGAGAAAAAAAGATGCCTCCTATTCGTGCTCCATATAAATTTACTAACGACCCATAAATAGAAATTTGTTTTATTATATAAAATGTGACCAGAGACATACCCCTTACATTTTATAGGATCAAGATCTGTAAATCGGTAGATTAAGAGGCAATTTCCATTCTTGTCTCATTCTAACATCAGGGATATTGGATTGACTTACGTAATGCTAATTCAAAGATTTGTAATATGTGTAAAATGCGCATTTAACAATAATGCTTAAATGAAAATCCGCTTGTGAATAGTGGTTTTATGACAAATAATTTAATACTAATAGAGTAACACCATATCTCAAAATTTACCGTTTATTCTCAGTATCCCAGAATAGGAAGTTTAATTGTTCTCATTCCCCTTTCCAATTGATTATATCAAAAAAGGAAAATTATCGGAATAATCGTTCATTGCATAACATATACACGTAATTTGGATGAGCCTTCGAGAATCTGTAAATCATTGATTCTAATCCATTTTTGAATTTCTTTTTAACGACGCCCCATCTTACGATCCGCATGTAAATCAGGAATGTATTTTTTTATTAGTAATTCAGAACTGCGTAATGAGTGAGATAGAACATACCAGAACTTTTTTCGGCTTGGCGCTGAGGGGGAGTTCATCAGTATAGACATAAAAATATTGGGTTTATTAATAGATCATAAAAAATAACGACTGCGGATACCTGTGACGTATTACCTGTATTTTGCGAATATAATCTGCGAAGAATATTCTGCGGATCTGCGTAGTAGTGGATGATGTTTTACTGTGTATGGTATCTAAGCCACCCACGTGATTCGGAAAAAAGAAGCGTAGTAATAAACTTATAGAACAATCGAATACCAAATATGCGAAATTCTCCTAGGCTCTACATTCTCAGCCTCAAGTTTGATGATACGCTGTTTCAATACTTTAAGCTCGGATGTCATGATCTATAATATATAAAACTAATACACTGTATATAAGCATTCAAAATAAAAAAAAATCACATGATTTACGACAAGAACGTAATATATGCTTTATTTAAGAAATAAAAAAACATTGCCAAAATCCAGCTTACAATAAATAAAAATTGGCCGTTAAGGCGCTTTGCACGACTATATCGCTACATGATGCGAATAAAAAATTCTAACTAGTTGGAGGATCACTTGATTTTGAACCAGACCCTTTCACATAGTGAACTCCTAATGCTCCTGTTCGATTATCTTGATTATAAAATAAGACTATTAGGATGACGAGGACCTTATCAATAAAATACAGCTATAAGAAACATTTAATTACTCACACAGTTCCTTAATGTAGTCTTCAAGTTCTAATGCTTGTTTTAACGTTATTCCATATTCCTTAAAATTCCATCCTGTTAGCTTGAGAAATAAATCACCGGTGATATTTTCATCACGAAGCTTTGTAAAAAAGTTATCGTCAAGTTCTAAACCTTCTAATTTTGAATCACTCCTCAAAAATCTGATAAGTCTTTCAGTTTCCCATAGTTTTATCGTTTTGACCCAGGAAGACATCTTATTTCCTGAAAACAAGAGCCCATGGTGAGAAAAACTCGCTCCTATATCCGAAGGTGCAATGTTAACTGGTCCAGAGGTACCCTCTCTAGCATATACATACCTTATTTTGCGGTATTTTACGGGAAAGTTTTCACGAGAATGTTGGTAGATGGGAACTTCCACATACCACCACATGCTTTATATATTGCTGAAAAAAAAAGATAAGGAGGTATGTGGCGTAATTAGTATTGTCGTCGGTCCCATAAAAGCACATGTAAACGGAATCCTCATACCTTTTCACACGTAGATCTACCAGAGAGACGCAAAGGTAGTTAGTTCTTATAGATCTCAAAATTGTAAATTCCTAAGCCATTCATAACATATGCTTTTACCATCAGTATTTACTTTTACGGTAGGTCTTGTATTACATGTAGACCTCCTTTCACATTTTTCTCATATTTGTTCAGAAAAAAATAAAGGTACTAGTTAGCGAATATATATGCAAAATTAATATGTGAAAATGTCACACAGATCTATTATGTGATTAGCCATTATATCATTGCACAGAAATTCGTCTGAACTGATGATCACTGCTTCAGGCTATCATTAATCAGGCTATAATCTTCAGTGGAGGCTTGTATATCTGATATATGGCCTGTTTGTTTAGCCAGTCTTCGACTTCTACGAGAGTAAACTTATATCCGATCTTCTTACAAACATCCCGCATTTTTTCAGCAGTTTGATAATAACTTGATCCCAAAAGGACTCCTTCAAGCTGGTAATACAACTTATAGAATAAGAGATCTCTATATATAAGTTGTTCTCTTTTAGGTCTTTTTAATAG